ATGTCAGTTTTCGTGAAAATAATATTACGATCAGCTAAACTTAATATTATTTTAGAAAAACAAATGCTACAATTAATTTTTGATAGAAAATAAATTATTTTTTGAGATTAAGAAATTTTTTTTCACCAGTTACGGTGCTACAGCGCTTTCAACTGCACCGTCACTTTGAGATAGGCTTTCATTTGGCCTAAAAATTTCAAATGGTTTATACTTCACCGTTTTGACAACAGATTTTCAAGTTTTCATCAGATTCACTTCTAAATCACATCAATCTTATCGCTGCGATCAAAATTGGCAACGAAAATTCAAATTGCTTTTTTATAAAATTTAGTGATTAAAACATTTCTAATTGTTATAAAAACTTATTAATTTGTTTCTTTTTTTTTTGATTGTATTACACAGTTTATAGCTTCTACATCTGATAATCGTCATGTTTGACTGTTTAAAATACTGATGAACAGCTAGAAAAACAGATTAGATATATTTGTTTAGCAGATAAAGCTAGTTTACGCTTGATCGGCACTAACAAATGACTCAGCAAAGTAAAGTGAGAGCAAAATGATTCTGAAAATGAATGATCAAATCTGCAAATGCAGCCTTTCCCTGCTTAATTTTTGTTTAGTAGACACCCGTAACAGCAGCATTACACAACCTTCCTAATAGCCAGGCGCTTTTATTTAGCTTCATCTCGTTCTCTTTAAAGTGCATCTCAAAGCATCCTTTACAGAGTGTTATAATGTTGTAAACTTGAATAAAAATTTCAACTAACATGTATCACTTGTCGCTTGAACAGCATTGAAATACTATCACAATAAAGTTTTTTCTAGCAGATAATTACTGATAATACTAGATGAAAAAAGCAAAAATTAGTTAAAAGTTTTTGATCACCAAAATCAACATAAAGTACCTCTCCAGTGACAAATAAATATTGCAATTATTTGCTGTATAATAATCTCAATAACCAACCGAATGTTGTAAAAGTTGGTAGACTATATTGGTTAATTTCTCGCAAAGTTACGACTTTCAGCTTCTTGACCTTAGTCACTCGATGCCTTCGATCGCTCAGAATTAACACTGCTAAAAGGCAAATATTTTACAGAATATTTCAAAGCACAAATAATTGATCAACACAAAAGAAAACAACAAAAAAGATTATAAATGTCAACAAAGTTTTTGCGTTTTAAAGAAAACTGTATTTTATTATTTTTTTTTATCATCTGAATCTCTATTTTTGTGCATTTTTTCAATTTTTTCTGCTTAACATGTTAAAAGAAACTATTTTTTATCATATCTTTTCGACTGGTAAAAGTTTTTTGCGAAATTCAAGCTGTTTTTAATGGCGCTAATGTTACCAAGTGATCTGTCCCGAATATGCAAATGCATTATAGTGTTTCGATTACAGTGGTTTTAATGCTCTGCGGTACACTACAAAAAACCTAATCTCTTCTTTTCGTTTTTAGTTTAATTTATATGATTAGATCAAACCTGATAATGTTGTCAACACAGTGAACATTGGATGTCACAAATGTATGACTTTTTTTGTGTCAACTTGATGACGAACAAGTTTCAAGATTTGCCTGCTGCTCAAAGATAGTTCTGCTTGATCAGTATCTGTTCTAGCCGGTCAAATTTGATGATCTTGTCTGGATCAGACGTATTTTATGATTGTTGGTATTCAAATGTTAAATAACAAAACAGCTTTTCGAAAATTACATTTTTGTGGTCTCTTCGTCTGTCAGGCGTTACTGGTCAAGTAAATAATGTATCTGGTCTATTTAGCGATAATCTTGTTGGTCATCGATGCAAACAACATCAATTTAAACCTATTTAGAAGGCTAAATGTTTTTGTTTTTTTTCTATACACTAAAGTTTTATTTGACTAATTGCTGTTTATTTTTACATTTCATTACATTTTATTTTTCATTCTGTCGACGGTAATCTGTTCGTAAGACAACAATAACAACAGGAAGAGTATCAATAAAAAAAAACAGTAACTATAAGGAAAGTGACAAAACGAGTTGCTATCGATACAAATATTTTTTATCTTAATCAAATAGTGAATGTGAAAAAAAGAAAGCAAAAACAGATTGAAAAGAAGGCAATCTTTTTTCCTTCTTTCTTTCGTAGCTCATTTTTGCGCAATAAGGCTAAGGTTGAAAAACAGTGATGTGTAATATAGATGAGTAATTAGCAAGAGTTTAAGACTGAAAAGAAAAGGCAACAAATGTTTTGATAGCAAAATGATTGGTGAATTACTGTAACGGCAGTTAAAAATCTTCTAAATAAATAAGCAGACTTGATTTGTATTTCCAGACTAGACAACTGAAAGATAAATGAAATTTACCCTTCTCGTTCCCGTAAGCTGCGCAAAAGTGAGCGCAATTAGACCAAATAGGATTTTGAAGGAGGAAATGAAGAGGTGTAGAAGAAAAAAAATTGTTTATAAAAATCAGAAGCAAGAAAATTCAAACAAAAAAAGTTTTTTTGCATAGCGTAATTTCGGTATGTAAACTTGTTTTACTTTACTCTTTTTAAATACTCCTGTAACACTATATCATCAAAATGATGTTTAATGATGTCGCGATACAAACCAACCAAATTTTTTTTTCCTGGACTTTTTTCTCTCCGACTTCTTCCCCCTTCCCTGTTTTTCTCGCTTTTCGCCTTCGTCTTCACCTTTACCTTCTACTCCTCCTTCTTCTTCATCTTCTTCTTCTTCTTCTTCTTCAACTGTTGTCGTACCTTCTTCTGTTGCTGTTGCTGTTGCCGTTGCTACTGCTGCTGTCGCTGTTGCTGTTGCTGCAGCTAATTTAATGACACCGATAAGCTTTATCGGTTTTGTCCATTTTCCTCTTTTCATCTTTGTAAATAAAATAAATAAATAAAACAAAAAATTAAACAGAGAAGAAAAAACTAAGTGAAAAAAAAAACTAAGTTTATTATTAAAAAAACTATTTTTTCGTCTTAAATGAATGTTTCCTCTTAACTCATGTTTATTGAATATTAATAGTGTAAGGAAAAAAATTTTTATTAAAACTAGTCCTCAAAGATCAAAAAGATAATTTTCACTGTTGCTTTTTTCTTCTTTTTTTTTGAAAAACTTAAAATTTTCAAAAAAATAAAATGACTTTTATACATTGTTTAATCAGTGTTTGCATGCTGACCAGATGGTTCAGCAAAGAAGGTAAAAGCGCTAAATTACTCTTCTAATTCTCTTAGATTCCTATTTTTTTTACCTCATAAACTGCCATAAGATGAGGATATTTTTGCGAACCAAATCTTATATTCGCCAAATTTGTTGCCATAGTTGGCGCTAAATCTGTAAATGATTTGATAGATCAATGAATACATAGACTGTCATCTATCGAGAATCGAGAATTGCATTTATTGCCTTTTTTTTTCAGTATTAGTAACTTCTGCATAAAGGCCGGTAAAATGTTTCATCTTTTTTTTTCTTAGTTTTTCTTGGTAACGTCCACTTTTTCTTTTTTGTATCTTCTTCTTTTTGGTTTTTGACCATTTTTAAAAACTGGTTAGTAAATTTTTTTATTGTTGTTGATAACTACCTTGTTGAAGCAGTAACCAAATGTCGAAAAAATGAGAAATTTTAGACGACAAAAGCCAACATAAAATTGAAGTGATGCACTTTGATTGTGCTATAGATAGTAAGTCTAAATACTTTTCAGATTTTTTTTTTGTTCTACCACTTTTATCGTTACTTTTACTGCTGTTTTTTGTTTTACTTTGGTGGAACAAAAACAGAAGCTTTGAGACCATGTAGACTTTTGTACTTTGAGTGCCAGCAGAGATCTTTCATGCAAAAGGGCAAATAAAGTAACCACCATCTTTGAACAGTTTCAGATTATCAGTTTTTATTTGTACTGTTTCTTCGCTATGACAAACGTTGTTTGTCAAAGAAACTGGTCACATAAATTACTCCAATTTTGAGTTTCTATGGTTAATCAGCTTTGCATATATACAGCTAAAAATGTTCACTGACAATAATCGTGCCGGAAAATTAGTGAACAGTGAAAAGTAAAATTGTATTCAAATTAAAATTTTATCGCGGTCAAAAGTTTTTTAAAATCTTTATGTTAGCAAAATCAAAACCAAAAAAAAAAGAAGTTGCAGCAGTACAAAAGTAAAAATTATTTTTCAGTTTTCTTCTGTATTTTAGAACTTTCTAGAAATATAAATAATAGACTTGTTTATGCCAAGTATAGTAATGGTATAAAAATTGGTCTAAACTTTTCTTCTCTCAGTCTTGCTATGCTTTTGTCTCCGTTTTTGTTTCAAAGTTTAACTGCTATTACAGAAGCACTAAAATCTTGCTTTGTTTGTCTACAGAAATACGTAAGGTACAAAAATATTTGTTAAGTTTAACCGCGGTAAGATTTAAATTTTTTATAAAATAACTGTTGATAATTTTTTTAATTTATACATTCTTTTTTTACAGTCTTTATTTGCGATCTTACTTGGTTTAACGCCATTTCTAGTAACTTTTTGTTATGTGATTTTCTTCATTTCTTTTCACATCTTTCTTAAATTTTTTCTTTCGGATTCTATCAATGATAGTTCTTCATTTCTTGCATTAGTCTAAATCACCGATTATTTATGAACAGCACAGATTAACGCTGAATGTTGTTAGCTTTAATAAATGAATTTTGAATTGTTGTAAACTTTATGATAACCAACTGATTGTCTATGCATAAAGTTGCTGATAATAACAGCAATGGCACCAGCAGTAATAACAATAATTGAAATTTAGTGTAAACATATACAGTAATATTAACAGAAATAGTGGCGTTTACTTCTACATCATCTGTTATTGTAGATGTATTTTATTACTACCCTTCTACTTGCCTATCTAAGTACACTGAAAAAAAAAAAAAAGGTATCACGAGTCTAACAAAAGTGTTCAGTTATTGACAGTAATAATTTGCTGAACTTTTCTTGATGTAACAAAGCAACAGCAGCAAAAACAACAATAATTTTTTTGTATTAATTTCAATTTTGTTCTTAATTGACTAGAAAAAGAAGTAACACCTATTCGTTTTTTCACTAATCAACTATGATCACCTTTATTTTTTGACTGCTATCACAGTTACAGATAATAGATTCACCAAAACGTTTCCATCTTCAGGTGCCTCTTCTGCTTTTTCCCTCTCCTTTAACTTTTTTTGAGGAAAAGTGATAATAATTAGAAGCAAAATTTTAAAAAAATGTTTCATACTCTTCTTGCCTTTTTTTTTTTTTTTTTTGTTGGATCTTTTCGTATTGCATTAACCAACCGTATTTCCCTTAATTTTTTGTTTCTTTTTACCCCATTGCAAACAGGAATAAAATGCTGACTGACTGCAACAGTAAGCAAAATAAGAAGAAGACGAAAAATATTTTAACTGAAAACTGCAATTAGTATTATTCGTTACGTGGACACGGTTTTAAACAGCAGACAGGTAAAAGTGTTGTTGTTACATCGAGGTTTCAAGCTGTAACAACTGAAAAGTCTCTGAATTTGCAGAAGTGTCAGTTTGCCGGTTTCTATTTGCCCAACAAACTAACTGTTTAAGCGTTACGATTCAGTTCAAAAAATGAAAAAAAAAAAAAAGAAGGAAAGAGACAAAGAAACAAAGCTTTTCTTTGTTTTTTTTTGCCTTTTTTCCCCCCCCCCCCTTATTTACCCCAATCATTTAAATAATGCTTCAAAATGACCGTCGTAATTTTAGTCTTGTTTTTTTTTCCTGTTTTTTTTTTCCCCCGTCATTCTTTTTTTACCCTTCCAGTTTGATTTGCTTTGTTTTTTGAGCTAAATAAATGCCTGAACAAGTGCTTACAACTGTTGCAGAACAATAATAATTTTCATTTATTACCGTTTTTTTTGTTGTAATTTATTTACAACAATTTAAAATGCTCTTTTTTTCAGTGGCCTGTTTTCTTTTTTAAAAGTAAAAAATTTTGAAGAATTAAAAATTAAAAAAATTTTTTTTTACTACATTTTTAAACATTTTTACTATCATTTTTTTGTTTTTGTTGTTGCTGTTGTTTGTTATTGCTTTCCCGACAGTTTATGAAATTTTCTTTAATTGTTTTGTTGTGAACAAACAAAAAGACAAAAAAAAAAAAAAAAAAAA